CCAAACAGCCATCAAAATCAAAGCTTAAATTCACTCCCAGGGCAAAAGAGCTTCAACTTTTACTTGCTTCAGTTCCCAGTTTCATTTAGATACTGGCCTTTAATTAATCTTTTGGGATACTGCCAGCTCCTTATTGCTTCTCAAAAATGCTTTCATAGTCTGTCTATAATTTTTAGTTTTCAGCAGGAAGACTGCTCAGATTAACATTCTGTCACATTACTGAAAAAGGAAATAATGCTACGTATTTCATAGCACCTTTTTCTTGCTCATCGATGTCAGGAAAGTTCCCATATCATTAAAAATTCTTTGTAAACCTAAACTGTTTAGTTGTACATATGATTACAACTCATTTAACCTTTCTGATGTTGGAGGCATTTTTGCAATTCTCAATTTCGCACTCTTAATAACATTTCTAACAACATGTTTATATGAAAAACTTCGTCCAAATTTCTGAATTTTTTTTCCTTTAGAATCTGGAAACAGGATACTAGGTTCAAAAGGTAGGATCATTCTTAAAGTTCTTAATACATATTGCCAATTTAGTCTCCAAAAGCTGTTTCAGATTCCCCTCATCCACCACCACCAATGGCAAAATGTCAATTGTGCCATCTCTCACTAACACCGAGTATAATCTCAACACCTCCTTCACCTCAAATTTCAAGCAGGGAAATGATGGGATCAGATTTCCCTATCAGTAAAGCTATACAGGCAGTAGCATGGAGAATATTAAGAAGGTTGGAGATAAGAAAGCCACATATAGATTACTACAGAGAAAAAAAAAAAATCTAAGCCTAAAATCCCACACTGTTACGTGGCGAAAAGGGAATAAATTTGAGATAGTAAGGCAGTAGAGCGTATCACTCTAGCTGTATAACAAACCATCAGAAAACTCAGCAGTTAGAACTACCATTTATTTAGCTTGTGACTGGTGATTGGCAATTTGGGTTGGGTTCAGCTGTACAGTTCTTCTGATCTCAGCTGGGCTCACTCATGTATCTGTGGCTGGCTAAGAGCTGGCTGGTCTAGGATAGCTTCAGCTGGAGTGGTTCACCTCTGCTCCACATGATCTCTCATCTTCTGGCAGGCCCGCCTGAGCTTGTTCACAGTGCAGCTGAGCAGGATTCTAAGAGTTAGTGGAAATGTGCAGGGCTCTGAGGCCTAGACCCTAAGTTTACATAATGCCACTTAAGCCATTCTTTTGAGAAAATCAAGTCACAAGGCCAGCCGAGATTTGAGGAATTGGAAAACCGGTGAAATTCTCAATGGGAGGAGTTTCAAAGTTACATTGCAAATGGTATGGGTACTGCGAGCAGTGGAGAGCTATAGCCATTTTGCAATCTACCACATCGAGTTGTCAGAATTGCTGAATGATGACAAGGAAACCTCTAGGGAGATGGTGAAATATAGACTGAGTTACAGAATTCTGAATTGGTGAATTGAGTATATGTTAATACCATTTACTCACTGAGAAGGGTTAGAAAAGTATCAATTGGAAATGTCTACTGAAATTTCAAACACAGATCTGAAGTTTAGAAATTAGATTTAGGTTGGTATCATAGATTTAAGAGTACAGCTAACATTTGAAGCAATGGGTGTGTGAAGTGAAAGTGCTGAGGATAGAATCCCAGAGAACAACATTATTTTCAAAAAAGATGGAGAAAAATTATAACCTAAGAGTTAGGCAGTATAAAAACAAAGCAGAGTGGTTTAAAAGTAGTAGAAAATAATATAAAATCTCACAAGATAACCTATCAATCTTACACTAATACTCCATTGATTCTGGCAAGTAATCGGTTCCCTTAGTGACAGCAGATACGGTAAAAGGAAAACAAACCAAACCCATTGCCGTCAAGTCAGTTCCAACTCATAGCAACCCTAAGGACAGAGCAGAACTGCCCCATAGGGTTTCCAAGGCTGTAAATCTTTACAGAAGCAGACTGCCACATCTTTCTCCCGTGGAGTGGCTGGTGGGTTCAAATCACCAACATTTTGGTTAGCAGCTATGTGCTTTAACCACTGTGCACCAGGGCTCCTGTAAAAGGAAAAGGAGACCGTATATTCTGTGTGTTGCTAATGGTTGATTGAAGTGAAGGATCACAGAGACTAGGGAAAACTGGGATGAAAATGAAGGCAGTAGAGGAATGACACTGAACAGAGACAAAAACAAAAAACAGAAACAAAAAACTGAGTTTACTGTTAAAGAATACTCCCTGACATACCTATTTCAGTTGTTCCCAAACTGTTTACACACCCTTAGTGTCTCAGCAATTTTTTTCACAGCACACCTAGGCCAGAAGAAATACTTAACAGTTTCATTTATTAAATAGTTCCAAATAACTTAGCGTTTATACCCGAACAACTTAGGTCCCATTGGGCACTACACAACTTCTCAAACTTCAGAATCAGATCAGACACCACCCATCTTCATTTTCTGTTACAATTTTTGTGTGATATCTGCCTTTTTATCGCAGCAACTGCTAAAAACCCAGCTTCACAGATATGTCATTGGAAAGAATATAGCAATCTAATGGTGAAACCGTGAACTACTTAAAGCTAGTAACTCATGTGGTATCTAATAAATATTGCTGTGATTTCCTCAAAATTCTTAAATATCCCACAGCAACCCTATGAATTCTCTGTGGTACTCCAACGCATCTCAGTTCACAGTTTGGGAACCACAGTCCTATCCCCTATCCCTGCTTTATTTTTTCTCCATAATACTTACCACCTATATATTTTCTATATGGACTTTGTCTCCTTCCTTTAGAATGTGAGTTCCATGAAGATAGACGTTTTGTCTTTGATCATTGCTATAGCCTCTATCTCCAGAATGATGCTTGGCATGTGGAAGATTCTCAGTAGGTATTTATTGAAAGAATGACTAGGTGCAGTGGGAGTAAGACACTTACCAAATTGTTAAGATAGGAGACAGTGATGAAAACATGGGATGTTGTAATTCATAATTTCAGATGTGGAATAAATAGTTCTAAAGTGACCATTTAAATATAGCCATGACTATAAGTTAAAAGGACCTTTGGTAGTATTGTGGTTAAGCGTTCGGCTGCTAACAGAAAAGTCAATGGTTCAAACCCCCCAGCTGCTCTGTGGGAGAAAGATGTGGCAGTCTGCTTCTGTAAAGATTTACAGCTTTGGAAACCCAATGGGGAAGTTCTACTCAGCGGTGGTTTGATTTGGGTTTTTATAGGTGGTTAGATGAGTATAAGTGAATAATGTCAAAGAATCGTTAGCCTACTGGTAAGTCAACCATATGGATACAGAGGTCACAAAAATGAGGACTGGACTTGAGATGGGGAGGTGTGAGCCAGGTACCAAAGAACAGAAAGAATAGGAAAGTGTAACCAAAAAAAGAAAGACAAAGAGATCTTAAGTGAGGGTGGCCTAGTGATGGTTTGAAAGGAACAAGAGGTGGTGCTATGCCACAGTGAGTTTGTAAAAGAATCCACAGCTCCCACTTCCCAAGAACAGAGGAAGCAGTGTCATCACAGTTGTTAGGTTTCTGCTAGGCAAGTAGATGAAAAAGACAGTATTGTAATGAGTTTGAGGACATAAAGTATTTGTTCATAATGAAACAAGGTTTCTGAATACACAACTAGATTTTAAACTTCTTGAGGACAGGGGCTTTGTCTTATTCCCTGTTGTATCCCTGGAGACTGTTACAATGTAGAGACTATTATAAACTGATAGGCTGCCTATCGTTCAATGAGAAGACGACCAACTGATCAACTGACAGACTGACTTAAAGAGGGATGGAAGAAGGATTAAGGGGCCAGGAGCCATACGCAAAGAGAAAGCCCATAAGACAGCAAAACCAGAAAGAGAAAACACGAATCAATTTTTAAAGAGCTGACATAAATGCAACTACAACTGAAAAATGATTCCTTCCATAACTAAACACCCAGAGTAAATATCCATAACTAAAGACACAAATAATTTTAGCTCATTATATTTTTTAAAATTCATGTATGTATGTTTTATAATTTGAATGGGTTTACCATTTGATTTTTGTAGTTTATAAATCAACCTAAATGTTAAGAAAATTCTATGTAGTGTTTCATCTGCCCAACCATTAAGCAATAGGTGAGATTCTCAGGGCAACTACAAATTACTTAAGGGGCCATTTCTTATTAACACTGTAGAAATATATTACACTTTGTATAATCTATTATACAAATGACAGTATAATACTAAATCTTAAAGCTTCTCCTTAATCTTTCATTATGGATAAACATGACTCAAGGAGGAAGGACTTCCAAAAGAATCATATATGTGTTATTAGAGTAGAAATGATGTAAGTTGCAGAATGACAATGTAGAATGATATACAACCCTGTTGGAATTCCACATCTATCATTATCAAGATAAGCTTATCTGATGAAGCCACAGAAAAGTCATGAAGCTAATGCCTGAACAATGCAAATTTATATATAAAATTTTTTCAGCAAAATTCTATAAGTTTATCCATTTTGCAGCCACTCTTTCTGATCCACATATCTTCCTGATCCACATATTGCAGAAAGCATTTGTAACATCCAAAAATAAAAGAATATTTCATTAACAGTAGTGTGATGGTGAAGACTGTGTCAACTTGGCTGGGCCATGATTCTCAGTGTTTTGGCAATAGTATGTTGTGATCACTTCCCTGTTGAGATATGTGATCACACTCATGATGCGATCTGCTGTGAGTGGCCAATCAGTTGAAAGGGAGTTTCCTTGGGCATGTGGCCTGCATTGAATGTAAGTGGACATTCTGGCAAGGCTTGGGGGCTTTTGCCCATTCCGGATCCTGCAGCTGGTTCTTGTTCATCTGACCTCTGGTTCTTGGAACTTGAGCTAGTAGCTTATCTGTGATCTTGCCTGCTGATCTTGGGATTCACTGATCTTCACAGCCTGTGAGCAAGAGCCCTGCTCTCCAACTCGTTAATCTTGGGTTTGCCAGCCCCCGCAGCTATGAGAATCAGGAGAAGCTTCTATCCTGACCCATGGACGTGGGACATTTCAACCTCTACAACCACGTGAGCCATTTCCTTGATGTAAATCTCTCTATATTATATATTTTTACACTTTACTGATTTTGCTTCTCTAGAGAACCCAGCCTAAGACAAGTAGTTATTCTCTCAAAGCCTAAAAGCTGAAGAAATAATTTTTTTTAATCCACTGATGATAGTTAATAAGGGGGCCTGATCTTTAAAATTTTTGTTAGGCTTTATTATATAGACTAACATTTTGGTTTTGTAGACTCAGTAATATTAAATTGCCTATTGGGTTTAGTGGCTTCTCGCATCAGCTCCTGCAACTGTCCAATTTGTTCATCACGAAAGTCATTAAGTTTTTCTTCTGGAAGGGGGGTTCCAAAATGTGATTTTTCAGGTGAATTTTGTTGTCTGCTTTCCTTAGCTTGTTGCCATAGTACTGCTGCGTATTCCTAGAAAAAGAAAGAAAGAAAAAGATGGAGCTATAGATAAAAAATTAAATAAGATGTTTTTATTTATTCAACGTTGAAGGGCTTGAAGAACTCTAATTCCAAGTAACTTATTTTTCTCCATCACTGAGTATTCTGCATTTTGTAAACAAGATATAAACAATATAGCTGTGTCTTTACCATTCAGTGATAATTCCAAATATATCTTGTTTTTGGCACTTTACCAGTTTTAATAGACGTTTAGCAAAGTTTTTAACCTGGAGATCCTGGTGAGGGGCCCATACATGGGTTTCAGAAGCATGTATAAGGGACTCAAAATCACACGCAAAATTGTATGTACACAAGCATGAACATATTTCTGTGGCCATAGCTTTTATCTATTTTCAAAGGAAGCCGTTAAGTCTTACAGGCTTAAAAGTGGGTCTCAGAATTCGTTAACTTCACTTCTCTGCCTTCAGTTAAGAATTTAATTTAAACCACACTAGAAAGAAACTTTTAAAATCTTTAAGCTTTCGAAATTTAACAACCACTTCTGTCAGGGAAAAACTTTTTCATGCTACAATTTTTCTCTCAGTCAGCATCTTCAGCAAAATATTCCAACTATTACTGTCTGCACAACTATCAATTTTGAAACAGATTCCCAACTAAAATTAATCTTTTAAACAGGCAGGAAGTACCAATCTATTTCAGTTCATGAGGTGGAAGATTATAAGCACACTCTGGGTAGGTGCATGGCTCGGTTAACTCTAGATATCTAAATTGCTTATAACTGCCGGATTGCCAGTGTCACCAAAGAGAAGATTCAATTTTAATTTCAGACATTCCATACCTTTTACTTGTATTGAAAATTTTTCATGTTTTACAGAAATTGTTTCTTTTAATAACAAAACAAAAACATTACACACACCTTAAACTAACTTTACTTCTAGGGATATGCCCCAGAGCAGGTTTTCTCAACATTGGCACTGCTGACATTTTAGATAATTTGTATAGTTCTTTATTAGGGGTAGAGGTGGAGGGGGAGCCTGTACTTGGCACTGCAGGATGTTTAGCAGCATCCCTAACGTCTCTGCACTAAATGCTGGTAGCACCCTCCATCCCAGTCTTGACAATACCAAGTGTTTCAAACATTGCCAAATGACCTCTGGAAGGCAAATTCACCCTGGTGAAGAACCACTGCCCTACAGAGAAACTTTCAAACGCGTGTACAAGGAGTTTACCCAAGAACGTTTACTGTTGCATTGCTTTTAAAAAATAATTAGAAACAACCTAATTATGCTTCAGTAAGAGAAAGAACAAATACACGGAGGTTTATTCAGACTATGGATTATACAGAACTAACCGCAAATGAACTAAATGTCTCTGTCTCCACATGGATGAATCTCCAAAACAAACAGAATCAAAAAAGCAGGTTTAAAAAAGTTATGCAGGGAGTTAAGCTTCCAGTAATGGTAAAGTAGCTTTTATCAGACTAACCCTCTTGCAGATAACATTATAAACTCTGGACAAAGTGTAATAAAAATAACAATCCAAAGGCACTGGAGAGCAACCAGTCAGCAAGAAACTAAAGGAGTTGACGCTCTGAAGAAGAGAACAGCAGAGGGCACTGGGTGAGATTCCTGTTTTTACAGCTTTTGTCTGAGGAAGATCCCAGTTGGTGTTAAAAGAGTCTCTGCAGTGTATCATTCACAGTGTCTAGGGAAAAAAAAATCCAAAATTACTAGAAACATGAAGAAACAGAAAACTGTAACCCATAGCCAAGAGAAAAGGCAAATCGATGGAAACCAATCCTGAGATGATTCAGACATTAGAATTAGCAAAACAGAATTTTAAAGCAGCTATTATAAATATGCTCAAATATGTAAAGGAAAACACAGTCATAATGAATAAAAAGATGAGAAATCTCAGGAGAGAATGAGAAACTATGAGACTCAATTAAAAACTTTAGAACTCAAAAATGCAGTATCTGAAATTTAACAAAGAAAAGCTCATTGAGTGGGCTTAGCAGTTGGCTGGAGATGAAAAAAGAAAATGTGAACTTGAGAATATATCAACAAAAATTAGCCAATCTGAAAAAAGACATAAAAACTATTAACAAACTATTAACAAAACCTCAATAATCTATAGGACAATATCAAAAGAGCTAACATATGTCTAATTGGAATTCCAGAAGAGAAGAGAATGAAGCAGAAAAAATACCTGAAAAACAAACATCTGAAAAATAAACATACAGATTGAAGAAGTTTAGCAAGCTCTAAGCAGGATAAATACAAAATAAAACCGCATGTACGCATGTTATAGTCAAATTGCTAAAAGAAACAATAAATCAAGATCTTGAAAAAGTTTATAAACAGTATGACCCCTGGTGGCACAGTGGTTAAGTGCTATGGCTGCTAACCAGAAGGTTGGCAGTTCGAATCCACCAGGCACTCCTTGGAAACTCTATGGGGCAGTTCTACTCTGTCCTATAGTCAGTATGAGTCGGAATCGACTCAAAGGCAATGTGTTTATGATCATTTTTATAGATTTTAAAAACAGAAAATAATATATATTATTTATGAATGCATACGTGTGTACAAAATATATAAAAACAACCACGGAAACAAGCGACATCAAGGATAGTCAGGATAGGGATTACCTCTGAGGAGGTAATGGAGCTTTAGCTGCATCTGAATATTTCACTTATTTATTTACGATCAATATACAGCAAACACTATAAAACGTCAACATTTGTTAAGGCTTGATGGTGGGTACATTAAGTGTCATTTTCTTCTTTCCTGTATTTTGAAAAGTCTCATAATTTTAAATTAAATATGTATGGTCTCAGACAGCATTTTTCTTGAGGGTATAATTTATAAAACGAAGATGACAATCTAATGCCTATCTTAAATAACTTATGTTTCTTGGGGAAACTAGAAATACATTTCACATATACTATGAGGGATGATCAATGAACACTTCAGGTAGACAGACTGTCACAAAAAGGGGAAAAAAGAAAACAAGCCCTCCCCTGCTACAACCTGTTGCCTACTAGTCTGCCCTGTGCACTTTCAACGTTCCTCCTCCACTGGCAAGAAGAATGGCATAGAGATAGATAGAGAGAGAGAGAGATAGATTAGATAGATATAAACTTCAGGACAATACTTTGGGGATGTCCAGATACAAGAAGCTGCAGCAATAAAATATGAATTTTCTGACAAGGTCACTCTTCCAAAGAAATCTACTTAAGAGGAAGAGAGGAGGCTCAGAGTACAAAAATACAGCACATAGCTCCAGCATCCTTTGGTTTCAAGCTCTGATCATGCTGCCATCTAAGAGGAAAGCTAGCCCAAAATTTTCCTGAAGTTAGAAGACTCCCATAACTGATCTCCTGAACCAAAGAGGCTACACAGTGCTTCCTCCACAAACCAAGCAACTGCTTCACACTATATATAAAAATTAACTCAGAATTAATCAACAACCTAAATATAAGAGCCAAAGCCATAAAACTCTTAGAAGAAAACATACGGATACATCTCACAATGGGATAAACTGGGCTTCATCAAATTGAAAAACTTTTGTGCATCAAAGGACATTACCAAAAAAAGTGAAAAGACAACCTACAGGATGGGAAAAAATATCTGGAAATCACATATGTGATAAAGGCTTAATATCCACAATATATAAAGAACTCCTACAACTCAACAACAAAAAGGCAAACCACCTAATTAAAAAATACACAAAGGACTTGAATAGACATTTTCCCAAAGAAGATATGTAAATAGCCAACAAGCACATGAAAAGATTCTCAATGTCATTAGTCATTAACCCCACTGCTGTCCAGTTGATTCTGACTCATAAAAATCAAAACCACAACAGCATACCATTTCACATCCACTAGGACTGCCATTATTAAAAAAAAAAAAATGTTGGCAAGAATGTGAAGAAATTGAAATTCTTAAGCAGTGCTGGTGGGAACGTAAAAAGGTGCAACCACTATGAAAAAGTCTGACTGTTAAAGAATTACCATATGATCCAGCAGTTCCACTTCTGGGTATATGCCCCCAAAGAATTTAAAGCAGGGACTCAGATAGTTGTACACCAATATTCACTGTTGCATTATTCACAACGGTCAAAAGGTGGAAACCACTCAAATGTCCATCGACTGATGAGGAGATAAACAAAATGTGGTATAAACATACCCAAAACCCACTGCCCTCAAGCTGATTCTGACTCATAGCGAACCTATAAGACAGAGTAGAACTGCCCCATAGCGGTTCCAAGGCTGTAAATCTTTACGGAAGCAGACTGGCACACCTTTCTCTTGTGGAGCCACTGATGGTTTCAAACAGCCAAGCTTTTGGTTAGCAGCCAAGCACTTTAACCACTGCACCTCCAGGGCTCCTGGTATATACATATAATGGAATATTATTCAGCCATAAAAAGGAATGAAGTTTGAATACATGCTATGACATGGATGAGCATTGAAAATATTATGCTAAGTGAAATAAGTCAATACAAAAGGATAAATATTGTATGATCCCATTTGTATGAAATATCTAGAATAGACAAATGCACAGAAACAGGAAGTAGATTAGTGGTTAGCATGGGCTGGAGGAGGAGGGAATGGTTATTTATTACTTAATGGGTACAGAGTTTGTTTGGGATGATGCAGAAGTTTTGGAAATAAATAATGGTGATGGTTGCACAGCATTATGAGTGTGAATAATGACATGGATTGAACACTTGAAAATGGTTAAAATGGTAAATTTTACGTTGGGTGTATTTTAAACCAAAAAAAAGAGATGCTATCAAGTTGACTCCAGCTCATGGTAATCACATGTCTATCAGAGCATAACTCTGCTCAATAGAGTTTTCAATGGCTGATTTTTTCAAAAAGTAGATCAACAGGCTTTTCTCCCATGGCCCTTGTGGATGGTCTTGAATTTCTAACCTTTCATTTAGCAGATGAGCATGTTAACTGTTTGTACCACCCAGAAACTCCGTGTATATTTTAACACAAT